CCACCCCCCTCCCCCGGCCTTCACCACAGTATTGTCTGTGCCCATGGGTTACTCATCTTTGCATAAAAATTCTTAGGTTAATCTCTCCCTACCCACCCATCCACCCTCACCTTCCCTCTGAGATTCGTCAGCCTGATCCATGCTTCCATGTCACTGAATCATTTCTGTTCATCACTTTATTATGTTCTTTAGATTCCACATATAAGTGAGGTCATGTGATATTTGTCTTTCTCTGCCTGGCTTATTTCGCTTAGCATAACATTTTCCAGGTCAACTTCAGAATTTTAAAGGCCATCTCCATTTGTAAAAATGTAATATACCAATAACCCATAAATGTACATAAATTCCAGAGGTTTCAAAGTATGTAATGCCATTTCAATCCCTGAGGAAGCAAATGTTTTTGTTTACTCAGTTCTTGTTATACAAATGTAGAAAGAAAACTAAGTATTGCTATTGGATAATATCTACCCCCATAGCTACTTGGAAAAAGGATCTTATCATCTGCTATTCAGGGAGATATTGCTGTGGAAGTAAATGAATATTCAAATGGTAGTAAAATTTAGAAGCTACAGAAACAATTTCATAGTTCTCTTATATAAGGCTCTTCAAAAATAGTAATTTTAACAGATGATTATGCTGTTAAATTTCAAATATGCTATAGTATACTTTGTTCCCACATATTTAGATTTCTATACACATTTAAAAATCTACCTCAAGTGATCATATATGTAGTAATCAGATTAACCTCTGGTTAGCTGTTAATCAAACAGACCTCATTCGAACAGCTTTTGAAAATTATGTATATCTTTTTCTGACAGAAATACAATATCCTGGGTGTGTTTTAATAACTGAGATTCAAGGATTTTTCACTGTTTCAGGGGCATCATTACTGACTATCTCAATTATCGTCATCATCAGAATTACCATAATTTGCAATAACAATTACAGTTACCATTTACTCAGAGATTATTGTGTACCAAGCTTTGAGCTAGAGGCTGTTACATTCATAACAGGATGCCAACACAGAATTTCTAAAGATTATGCATGTCTATTTTATAGCTATGGGTAGAAAAGCAAGTGACTCTATAGCAGCTTTTAATTATTTTATGTCAAATTACCCTTGTGACCTCAATTAGTTATGTAAATATAATTACAGTAGTTACCTCTGGGGAAAATATGTTAGGGGATATTTGGTGGATGACAAATAGGTCCATCACCCTACACTATCATTGTCATTTTTAGAGCTCTTTCACTCAGGCAAAAGAAGATTAATGCATGGAGAAGACAAGGAATCTTGTGAGATAAAAATAAAACCCAGAATCAGGCCCTGTCTCATTTCCTATTCATTATCTTAGAACTTTTCTGATGATTTCAGATGAACCCTACAGGGGTTCATTTGTAAGAAATAAACACAAAGTTGACAAAGGGGAAGTCTGGATTGATCATTTGAACCTCTCAAAAAGACTTCTAAATTTATAGTAGGATGCCTCTTAACATTTACCCAAACTTACTGAAAACTATGTCCACATAAAAAGCTGTGCCTGAATGTTTATAGCAGCTTAATTCATAATTGCCAAAACTTGGAAGCAACCAAGATGCCCCTCAGTAGATGAATGGATAAATAAAATGGTGGCACATCCATACAATGGAATATTATTCAGGGTTAAAAGATAGGCTATTAAGCCATGAAAAGACACAGATGAAACTTAAATGCATATTATTAAGTGAAAGGAGTCAATCTGAAAAGGCTACATACTGTATGTGAAAAGATGCTCCATATCATATGGGTTTGATATTTTAAATTTGTATTTCATCAAAGAAATACAAATTAAAACAAGAATAAGATACCACCACACCCTATTAGAATGGTCAAAATTGAGAACACTGACAACACCAAATGCTGTGAGGATGTGAATCCACAGGAACTCTCAGTCATCACTTATGAGAATTCAAAATGGTACAGCTACTCTGGGAGAGAATTTGGCAGTTTCTCACAAAACTAAACATGCTCTTACTACATGATATAGCAATTGTGTTCCTTGGTATTTATCCAAAAACAGTTGAAAACTTATATCAACACAAAAATCTGCACATGGATGTCATAGAAGCTTTATTCATATGGAATATTGAACAATGGAATATTATTCAGCTCTAAAAAATGATCTATTGAGCCATGAAAAGACATGTAGG